TGCCAACAGCCAATTTACAAGCTTGTGGGTATACTTTGTTGCTTCCGTCGACTCTCTAGTACGGAGTGCTGTCTCAATAACAAACGTCTGGTACGGAGTACCAGTCGATCCATTTCCGCCGACCGAGACCTTGACAGCAGTGGCAAAAGGCAGCCAGGCACACACGACCTGTGTCTTACCAGACGCACCGTTCATCGACTTCCTGGTCTAGTAAAGCTCCCGGCTTTAATATTCCTTTGTGTCTTCTCTCTCCCACACTGACATCTTTACCTTGCCGGCAGCCGCGTTGTATTCACCGTCACCAACATCCTCAGCCGACTGCGTAGAACGATCACCGCCAGTCAGCTGGTACTGCAATTATTCTGTCCGCCGCGTTCCCTTGAATAAGTTTGGTAGCTCGTCGTGCGACCCCGGAAACAGGCTGCCCTGACCCGAGCAAGCAGGGGCAGTGACTGTGGGACCTGGTGTTCCAAGACGAGCCCGCTTGTGACCGGTGCTTTGCGGTGTCTCCTTTGTGTAAGACACTTTCGCAGCGCCTCCAAAATCCTGCCTCGCGCATCACCCTCCCTACCCTTCTTCTCTCGACCATGAGCCCTGTTGGCCGCAATGCGCCGCTATCTCCTATATCTGTAGGTGGAAGCGAGTGGTCACTATCAAAATACCCTTTTCGCGAAGAAGCCGGTCCTTATTCCAACGGTCGCGGTAACCTGGCGTCTCCCCCTAATTCGGGAGGTTCCATCGGAACCATGAGTATGAATGGCTTCCCTTCGGGGCCCCGAAGTACAGGAGGTCCCTCACCGCCGCCTTCGGTTGGCCGATCGAGCACTGGTACGAACCTCTTTGGAGGAAGCGATGGAGGCGGCAACGGTACGCGAGGCGGCGAACTGGACGAGTCCGTCCTGAGCGAACATTACATGGCACTGAGGGCGTTTCTGAATGCCAGGGATAACAATGCGAGGCAACAACCAAACAAGGCACGCGATAAACTCCTACGCCTGTCCTCGGTACAATTCTTTGAGCTCAGCACAGATGTATTCGACGAATTGATGCGTCGGCAAGCAATGGCTAGGGCTGGTGGACCTAATGCGCCAAACGGCCCTCCGCAATTCCTTTTGCCAGAAAAGACATTTCACCCAAAGAGAAACCAAGCTCGCCAGCGTCTCTCCTCGTTGGGCCCTCCACGATTTCGGGATCTTGCCGCCGACGTGTATCATGAGTTGGAGAGACGATTTCCTTCATTCATTGCGCGGGATATTCCTCGAGGAGGCAGCTCCATGTCGATGCGCGGTGGTCCAATGAACCGAACTGGAACTCCTGCTAATGGCATGTTTCCTCCTCGAGGTCAGAGTCGCATGCGAAGGCCGTCCGATGCCAGCTCAATTCGTGGGGCGCCGTCGGCTCCAGATCTCTATAATATCCCTCCTTCACCCAACTTACCAAGTGGCGATTACGGACGGCCGACGCCAAAACAACTTAATCAAAATAATACTATTGTTCCAAACAAAAGTACCATGTTGGAAGAAGATGACGAAGGAGCGTCAACCTCAGAGGTGAGAATGCATTCTAACGTGATCTGAACCCCAAGCAGCTGACTCTAGATATAGGCGGACAAGAAGCTCATGGAAGACTACCAGACTCAAATAAGGGAACTCCAGGACAAATTAGCCGACATGGAAGACGCTATGAAGAAGAAAGAAGATGAGATGAATAGCGCGCTCGACGGCGAACGTTCGCGGGCCACGGCGACGAACTTGGAGAAGAAGGAGTGGGCAGATCTCAGGCTGGATCTCGAGAACAAACTTGCTGAAGCCCTGGACCTGAACAAGTCGATGAAGGAAGAATTAGACCGCATGCGAGCCGAACAGGAACAGAAGGTTCCTGCCAACTCGGTTTCCGCTCTGCAGCAAGAAAATGACGAACTTCGAGAGTCATTGCGGCAGCAGGAGCAAGTAAACGAGGAAGTCCGCCGAGAAGCACAAGAGTTCCTCCAGGAGATGAGAGTGCTATCGCAGCAAAGTGCTGCGACTTACGATAAACAGCTCGAATTGGAAAAGGCAAACGAGGAATTAGAACGCGATGTGCGCCTTTGGAGAAATCGTTATGCTCGCTCCAAGACAATGCAAGGCGGATTGCGGGCTTCAACACATGGCCTGTCTCTAGAACACGACGCTGGCAAACACGTACGACACAAGGAATTCGTTGCCGACGATGGCGTTATCAAAGATTTTCTTGTTACCCAATTCCAAATTTCCATTGACGAACTGCTCCAAGCCGCACATCAAGAAACTCCCGAGAAGGCTCTTGACTCGATGAACAGGGTCGTGGTCAGCGTGCGTCAAATTACGAAGGCCTTGGACAAGTCAACACCTCATGATGACAACATTCAGCGACAGGGAAAGCTGAGGTCAAGAGTTGCAGCAACAGCCAATGCTCTCATAACAGCCTGCAGGAACTACGAAGCCGGAGCGGGACTATCTCCTGTGTCCCTATTGGATGCCGCTGCTTCTAACCTCACTGCAGCCGTTGTTGAGCTTCTTCGCCTTGTCAAGATCAGACCGACACCTCCTGGCGAGCTCGAGGAGGAAGACGAAGGAATTATAACTCCTGTCGACTCTGCTAGTTTCTTCTCACCTCGAAGCACTACCCAGACTTCAAACCAGGAGAGTCTACCGCCACCGCCACCTTTTCAAGGCCTGGGTGGTGCGGGAGCCCGCGCAAGCGCTGAATCATCGGCATACAGCCCGATTAGCTCCCCAAGAGAGTCGGTTGACCCGTTTCCTGTGAATGGATTGAATGGCATGATAAACGGTGGAGGCTATATGGGCCTCGATAGGGGTTCTAACGGATATCACGACAGTCGAGCCGATGATCTAAAGGTACACTCCTACGGCACATATGGCGGTTTGTGATTGCATATCGTCGACTCAGCTGACGGTGGTTCAGGTCTATTTAGATGACCAAACGGCTGTCCTAGTCTCGGATATACAAAATCTTGTCAGCTGCGTGCGCGGCAATGCCGAGATGGTGCAAATCACAAGTGAAGTTTTGACGATTAATGCGATTATTGGCAAAATCCTGGGCGAAACCAAGTCCTCTGGTTACGGCAGCATGACGACCAGACTGGCAGCAGTTCGCGACCGGCTTATGGAAGCCAACGAAAGAGGGCGAGAGCTGGCGCAGTCTGCTGCTGGGCAGGACGACGGCCCGTGGCGAACGTGGACGCAAACACTGCCTCCAATTGCCTTTGAGATTGCCCGTGAAACCAAGGAACTTGTTCAGAGAATTGGTGGGCTCAGTTCACCCGGAGACGTCGATGAATTTTCTTGATGCACGGCAGTGGCACGAATATTACGGTTACGTCAAAGAATGAAACGACACACGGCCTCCAAAAAAGTTATCAAAAATCGAAGGCAAATGACGGGAACGGGGGCACCTTGAATGTTTGGCATGATGATCGAGATTGAGCCTTGATTTGGGGCTTTGTTCGAATGGGAGATACCCCTTGGTGCATCAAGTGTAAATGTCTGATACGAGACGACTTTTATTGTATAATGCTTGTTTAAATTATATCCCGTGGGCGTTAGATATTGACGAGAGGAGGAGGAGGAGGCGGAAGGCTAATACCCTCGCATGGACCGTTGAGTGCGGTTAGGGCCAGTGAGGTTGGTATAGATAGAGAAATAACAGTAGGGTTGGAGTTGAGCATTGGTGTCGGATGATGGCTTTTAGTGGTATAAAAGAGCAATGGCTTCTGCCAGCCATGAATATATCATGAAACTTGGTTTAATGGAGAATGGGCTACGCAGCTAGCTATGCACTGATGGGCGTGTGGACATGATGACTGTTCAGACGGCGGGAATGAGTGTCACACACAAGAAAGGGTCTTGGGGTGCAGGGGAATTACGTAGGTGGAGATGGATCTGAGTGTGCATGTGCTGCGAGATGGCGGATGGCAGGCGGACAGGGGCTGGACGAACTGACCGGGGCAGGTTCTAATGTTGCCAGGGTGCGCGGGCCGGAAGCGGTATCAATCCCAGCATGGAAGGGCCTGGCGAGACATGCATTGGAAAAGAACATTAAAAAAAATGCTCCAGCGGCCAAGCAACCGAGCAACAAAGGCAACCGATTGAGACTTTCTTGACTTTGCCTCTGGAAGCTGGGAAGGGGGGCCACGCCGGGGCCGGGGCTTTGTCCCGTCTCCCTTTTCATCAACGTTCCCTTTTGCCTGCGGATTCAAGGCAGAGAGAAATGCTAACGGAGCGGACGGGTGCAGTCGTTACCTTGGTAGGGTACCTAGTAGATACATACACCTAGGTCCTTCCGTCTGGTACCAGGTACCCAAAGATTGTGCACATACAGGGGACATGGACGAGTCATTGCCCCACCCCCACGTTGCAACCGAGTTTCCAACAAACTAGCGAGGCAGAGGCAGAGGCAGGAGGGTGAGAGAGAGAGGCAGGCCCCTCAGAAGAGGACATCTGGAAGCTTCATGTGATTCCTGCTTGCGACTCGTGCGCCTCGAGAATGGCTGCGCTTGCGACACCAGCTCGAACGTGTGGCAGCCGCCCACTAAGCTAGCACGCAGAAAGTCTCGTTCGCCCCCCTTCGAGTGTCCTGGCAACTGTGCTGTGCTACCTTTGGCTGGCGGCGCCAATCATCGGACACTCCGACGACCGTCTTGAATCGCTTCATTGCGACGCTCTGACTGACCCGTGCTTTGCGCAAAGCCAGCTCACGACGTGCGCAAAGCCGGACGATTATTCACATCTCTTTCGAATCGCCACTCAAAGACCGTCGCCTGGGACCAATTGGCCGACAAGTCATTCGACGGCAAGAACACGGTGAAGGGCTGATCTTGGTCTGGCGCTGTCTGGCGCTTTGCCCACCCCACCTTTGCTTTTCACTTCACCATCGACAACTTGGCGTTTTTCCTTTAGCCTGAAGCGTCTTGTACGGTTCATACCCAGGCTGCGATACGGCGACTCCAAGGGGAATACGAGATGGATGGATATGGGTATCACGGTGGCGGCGCATCTGCGTCGCCATCGCTGACCGTGGTGCCAGCGCCGGCTGAGGCGAGGGACGTGGGCGACATGCACATCTGCGACCCCTCGGCGGTTGCGACTGGCCTGGCGCATCGACAGACGACACCTGTCGAGGAAGTCGATGACATTTTCCGTGTGCCGGGCGAACGACAGGCTGATGTATCGCAGCCAGAAGGACCGATGACCATTCTACAAGAACCGGCTGTTACGTCGGACGAGGTTGCGCAAGAAGCAGTGGGCCGTCCCGCATCCGACACGGGCCGTATAATAGACGGCGAGGTCAAGCTGGACGAGCAAGACACAATCAACAAGCTTCAAACAAGCCCAATCACTACTGGAAGCGTAACTGCCGAGAACACGGAGGCAAAGGCACCAGTGCCACAAATCCCCGTCAGCAGTGACAGTGCCGGCGTGGACGAGGCAGACGACCAGCCCAAACAGCCCGATGCTGCATCGGATATCAAGCACAACTACGACCAAGTCGATGGCCATCGAATCCTGCGCCTCCAACCCACCAAAGAACAGTGGGATGATTTCCCCGCCGTGTTGGCTTATGCCAAAAGCCTTGGTGCTGAGGGAGACGGCTGCTTCAAGGTCATTATACCGGAAGCGCTGCAGGAGGAGCTGCCAGAGAAACCAGCCCAGAATTTGCTGGCCAATGCCTACAAGGTCAAGCTGATAAGGCGGACGTCATTCTGGCAAGTCAGCACCGTGCCTTCGGAAGGCGTATTCGCATCTTCATCCATGTCCGACGCAGGATTTTCCGAGCCTGTCGACGCACTTCTGAAGAACCTCAAGCATCTCTTCCGGAAGCAGCAAAACAGACAATTGCGCAACATCAGATACAGAGTCGACGTACCCGCCTGGACCAAGACCCAAAGGCGCCTTGCAGGTGTTCCCGAGAAGAGCCCAATCTACCCACTAAAGGGCGACAAACTCGACAATACAAAGGCCGTCATTCCCGGCATCCACACCCCGTATGTGTACGAATCCGCCTCGGCCTTTGGCGCAACATTCCAAATCCACGCCGAGGATTTCCGCCTCGCATCACTGAACCACCTCTACAAGGGCCGAAAAATCTGGATCGTCATTCCCACCACAAAAGTCGATGTTGCAGAAAGGGCATTGGGCCGTGGCCTGGGCTGTTCGCAGTTTATGCGCCACCGCGCCGAGTTCTTCTTCCCCGACAAGCTGCAAAAGCTGGGCATACCATACAGGATCGTGGACCAGCGGCCGGGCGAAACAATCGTCATTCTGCCCGACGCCTACCACGAAGGCTTCAGCTGCGGGTACACCATTGCCGAAGCCAAGAACTACGCTGATCCCGCATGGACCACCGACTCCTACCAGCCGTGCCAGGCGAGCTGTAGGCTGGCCACGGCCATCCCTGCTGCCTTCATGAGACCTCTTGGGGAGGGCGAGCAACGACTGGATCTCTGTGCTGCCTATGGCGACGGAGTATCAGTACCTGTTGTTGACGTGTCTAAGAAACGGGAACAGGGAGAAATAGATGGCCTGGGGCCACTGTCAGAGGGGCCTGAAGCGCATGCGCCGAAACGAATCAAGATGTGTGAATAGACGGGGAATTCGGGGCGTTTATTGGGCGTTACAGGTGGTTCAACGAGGCAATTACGGTTGACTATATATATATATACCCCGGCGATGGAACTGTACGATGAGTAGTAGCTATGATGGGTTGATGTACTATCTGGGAGGGTGCATGTGTGCATGTGTGTATGAGTGTAGGTGTCATGGGAAAAGCCCAACTGGTACCGCTGGAGGAATGTTATCCCTTGTTTTCCCGCAAAATCACCTAGATCTATCATGTCTGATTTGATGTCCTAAAGTAAGGGCCTAGAGAAATTGAGCGGCAACGTACCTGTGGGCCATGCCTCGAAATTCAATCTTCAATGATCAATAAAAGAATGAACCGGCTCCTTGGTGTTATGTATGGGAAAAACTAAAATACCCGAGGATCCAGATATTTTGTTAAAGTCTGGTAGAAACTTTGAATGCGGCCTTGGTGCCGGCTATAAGGAAGTAGCGGATCTTCCGGGAAAGTGATGTGAAAAAGCGGGAAGGGAAAAAAAAATCGGTCGCGTGTTACTGGCCAATTGCTCGTCGCGAAATGTCCGAGCCTTCCATTCCGAAATGACCTCGACTACATATCTACTCCGTAGATCAACTTTATTCTCTCACCTCAATTAATCACAACCAGCTGTCCATCTTCTTCTTGCTCCCCTTTCTGTATCCTATACTACTCCTCTATTGCAATCGTAGACAGCACAGCATTGAAGCCACTTTTTTTCTTCTTTCTTCTTCCACAAGGGTTCAGTCGCGCATTTCGCGCAGCCCGCCTCCCGTCTCCCATCTGCAGATTCTCCCTCCCACCACCATAAAAAAAGCATCATCACCAGAACTAGAACCGCCATGCACGCGTCCGTGATTCTCGGCGCTGGCCTCGCCATCCGTGCCGCCTCTGCCGTTGCCGTCCCTGCTCCCAGCGAGCCTCCCGTCCTGCGTCGCGACTACGACAACGACGACGACCTCCCTGCCGCTCCCTGGGTAACCATCGACGACAACGGCAATCCCAGCAAGACGTTTACTCCCGTATTCACCACCATCAGCGGCACCCCGTCGGGCATCGACACGGCGCCTCACGACCTCACGGCCTCGGTGTACACTCTGACCAGCTACGGGCACGTTTCCACCAGCACCGGCCTGCCGCCCAACCCGACTCCGACCAATGCCGGCACCAACCAGGGCTCCTTTTCGCGATGCTACAACAAGAACGGGCCGTATGCGCCATTCTGCCGCCCGTCGTACAATTCCAGCATTTACACCGGCAACACTTATTACAGTGCGTCTTGAACCCCTTTCCCAAAACGCAACACCTCGGGATCAGTCCAGCTAACAAGATGTTTGTCCGAACCAGTCACCTGGGACCCAGACTACTACAATAAATCAGCAGCCACCCTCAACTCGACCTACTTCGTCAGCGTCCGCCTCGACTACCTCAACACCACCAGTAACGAGTACGTGCTTCTCGAGACGATCGACAAGAGCGTCCCTGCGAAATGGGGCTACTTCCCGTTTGCCGTGGACGGCAAATACCTCAAGGGCCAGAAGCACACCAACAACGTCACCATCACCCTCATGGGCCACGACACGGAAAACAGCATCGCCTACAACAACAAGTCCATCCCGCTGCCGGTCGTGGTCTCTGGCCCGCCTCTGGACCCTACGGCGCCCAGCAACGCCCCCAAGGGCAAGACCCTCACCATCGCTCTACCCGTGACCTTGGGCGTCATCGCCCTCATCCTTGTCGGCGGGTGCCTCTGGAACCGCAAGACGCGGCGCATTGAGCTCGGCAATATTATGAGCCGCTCTCGCCACGGATACACCGGCCACAGGACGCGGAAGCTCTTCAACCGCGGTCGCAAGGACAACGGCATCCAGCTTGATACCGCGCCGCTTTCGCCCCCGCCATTTGACTACCGCGATGATTTTCCCGAGAGACCTAGACGCGATAGCGAAGCTCTAGGCAGCCTGACTGGAAGCCCCGTCCGTGGAACCTTTGAAGAGCCTGGCAGCACCGGGGGACGAAATACGTTCCGTGACGAGGTCAGACGGCAGGAGCGTGAGAGACGGGGCGACTTTTAGGTCTGTCAGCCCCGTGTATATTGGCTATGAGATGAAGGAGAGAATGAAGACGAGGACAGCAGATGGTGCGAATGACATGTGTGCTGGCAATGTATCGTGGAATGTCATATTTGAAAAGGAAGCAAAGGGTCGTTGGTCGGCAGTTTGATATTTAAATACCTCATGTAGTGACGAACAGCTCATTGTAATATACATCACGCCAAAGTTGGCAAATTGATATTGATATCGCCATGTAGTAATGAATAATCCCGTATAATACACTTCGTGCCGTAGATTAGTATAGTTGTGCCATGTCATGCCGGCAATGCGATGTTGAAAGAGTGTCATGATGTGATGCACAAGTCGTGGCGCCGGGAGTATTGCGAGCGCCACGTCTAGGGTACAACGGAGCAGGTCTGTCTGAACCGTGCTCTAAATGCCTAGGAGACACGGGCAAGCCGGGGGCCAAAATCATGACGCCTACCGGATCGTCGTTTGGCATATTGGACGATCTAGTGCCGCGAATATAGCCTGAATTTTCAGTTCCTATAATGCGGTTTACTTGCCCTGTGATGTGACCCCTGCCAGTAATGGCTAGCTGACACAACCACGATGCTTGCCGGGGCTGTCGATGTTTCGCCTAGGCAGGCCAAGAACGCATTCATGTCATGCCGGAAAAGGAGCCATCATCGTTCAAATCCTCACAGTAGGGTAATTCAGGGAAGATGCGCCTAGCCTCCCTTCTCGCCTTTTTCAGGCGGCGCTTGACCTTGATACCCAGCTTCGTCTTCTTGGGTTTCGGATCCGCCGGCTTTTCAATCCACACGGGGAGCGCAACGGGGGCATGGGCAATTGCGTCGAGGGTGCGGAACAGCTCTTCGTTGGCGGCGGCAGTCTCGGGCGCCATGCGGCCATCGCGCACGGCAATCATGAGCAGAGCCTTGAGGGCAAAGTGTGCGTCGTTCCCGGCAGCGTGGAGGTTCGCGTAGGGAATGGCGAATTCGTCCAAGAGCTTCTCTATGCTGTAGCGGTAGTAGAGCTGGAGCGGGTACTGCGCAGCCTTGACCGTGTCCACGATGTAGGCGGCTCGGCTGGCGATTCCGGGGTCCAGGTTGTTCAGGAACTTGACCTCCTCGCGCGTCCCGTGGGCGACGAGCACGTACGCCCTGCCGGCGGTGAGGTGGGCGAACCTCGTGGTGAACTCGGGAAGGGCAATGCGCTCCGTGTCCCCGAAGAGGAACGACTTGGCGGCCCACTTGCATGGCCGTGAATCCGTGTTTATGAATTGGTGAGAGGTGATGGCGGCCCCGGGATCGCGGAGCTGCGTTGTGAGTCGGCGGGTATCGAAGATGGAGACACCAATGTGGAAGCTTTGTCCTGGGGAAATGACTTCGTAGCCCCCGCCTGTGTCGACGTCTACGGCGACGAGGAGGACGTCCTTGATGTGTGTTCCTGGGATGTAGTGGCTGATTGGGGGTGGGCTGTATGGCGGAGCGGGGTGGAGGGATTCGAGACGGTATCCTAGGATTTGGCGGAGGGCAATGTTTTCCTCCCGCAGGATGCCCGTATGCTCGCCTGGGACTGAGGGCATGATGGTGATGGCGGTTTGGTGGGTGTGTGTTTGGCGCCGACTGACTCCTCTGCGAGGCACGCCCCCGGTGTCGCGTCTATAATGTCTGCCGGGTTGGAAATATCTGGATAAGAAATGTCTTGTACTCTGCCTGATATCCCACGCAATATGCGGCATCGAACAGGCTTTGGAAGAGAAAGGTGCAAGTTGCGCTGATGTAGAATCAGAGATCATAAATTATGGGCCCGACAGTGGGGCGGGAGGACAAAGCCGGCACCACCAGACTAAAGTGTCTCGTGCAAACTTCGAACACTAGCATTAGTGCACGGTGGGGAAAGAGGGCATCTGGACATTCCCTAGTTCGTGACTGAATATATGTCCTCCTTTATAATGAAAAATAAAAACTTGTGTTGCCGGTGTGGTCTTGGAACTTGAGTGGGTTACGGAGTCGTTGCGTGTCCCGGTACCTGAGAAGGGTGTTCAGAGCATTCTGATCGGGGGAGGGCCATTGGCCGCGTTAGAGCCTGGAGGAAGGTGACCGTTTGGCGCCGCCTACGAGGGGGAGGGGTTCGTCCGAAAGTCTCATTAATGAGTAGGGTTCTCCGGGGGTTCGATTCCTCCACACACCACTGTTTTTTTCCTCCTTTTTTTTCCTACCCCATTCATGACATGGGGATTGCAAAGTGATATTTGTATACTAGGTGCCTACCCAGGTATTTAAGGTAGGTAGGTACCTAGGTACCTAGTAGTTTTGTGGAGTGTTTCCAATTGACCCTCTGTGTTGCCCGCAAACGATGTACCTGTACCTAGAAGTACTTCCGGGAGAATCCAACATTTGAAGTTGCAGTTTGGTCGAGTGGTCTATAATACCTACATCAAATACCTGGCCAGACCAAAGAACAGGCAGGGTTCGAATTCAAGTCTGGGCCTTTTATGTTGCCTCCTGCCTTCCCCCAAGATGACCAAGATGCGATGTGACAAGCGCACTTCATTCACTCGCGAGTACTTCGAAGAATGCGCATACATACAACTACAACCGGCGGTGCCGCACTGATCGCCATTAAGTTCCAAAATGCATGGTGTGATGAAGTCTCATCAGGGTCAACTTGGCGATGGCTAAAGACCACACAAATAAAAATCCCCAAATTTTTCTTGTCCACTGCCTAGTGCTTTGACATTAAAGGCCAGCTAAGACGCATCGACGCCACGAAGCTAAAGACAACCGGCGGTGCACACAGCTTTATAACGAGGTCAAACGAGCACAATAATGCAGGAAATCGGTCCAGAACGCAGGCAGTGCAGCTAAGCAACTCTGACCTTGGTCGGAACTAGACTTGACAGTTCTTGGCTGAAACTGCGCTGGTCATTCTTGCCTCAGCGGAATAGAAATGGAATGGAAATCAAAGGTTTATTTGTGCTACTCTCGTGGCTATTTCCATCGCTAAACAGCAATTTACAGTCGAGTGGCGTAAACTCGAAGAGCATACCCCGGCAGTACTTGATGCCGGTTTCAGCTGACCTGACTTGAGCTAGCCAAATGAAATTGAGTGTACAAGAAGTAAATGATCGTCACTGTATTCTATTTCCATGTGTTCCAAAGCCTTAGACATGGTGACACGTCGGCTGTCGTCAACGTACGTGTCCGCCACCGGCCAATAAACAAACTATCAATTGACAACTAGTCGAATGGTTGGGACAGGGTCTGACTCCTACCATTGAATTCTTTCGTGACCGGACCCTCGCCATCAACACATTCTCAGACAGAGCACAGTTCTTTCCGAATACCTCGGCGATTAGAGGATCTATTGAACATTGTAGTTGGCGATAAAAAAGTTATACGTTTAGAAAGCAGCGTCGTGCACAAGGCCAGCCATAGAAGAAGTCTGGCTCCTTGAGCTGTGGAAATGGTTTTCTAATCTTCAGTTCATTGTGCTCGATTCAGCTTGTCGAATCTAAATAGAGCCTTTGGACCCTTTGCTTCTTATTACCGTCTTAATTAGTCAACCCTTTTTCGAGGATGTGCTTCACAACAACTATAGCCGCCGGGGCCGTGTTCCTGGCTCGCGCTGCCTGGGCTCAGCCAGTCGAACTGGGTAAGCCAACGAACGCAACCCCCCTAGATAGAGCAAAGCTTATATCGGGACCAAGTCTAATTCGATGGGCATCTTTGTGAAGCCGCGCGCGCCAGTATGCAGGAACGCGCTGCTGCGGGCGGTGGCGGACTTGCCACGATTCCCGCCGACCACGTCAAGTTTGTGGCCAACCCGGCGAGCGCCAAGGACTCTGTTACTCCGGCGTCAGAAAACAATCCGGCCCGTGAGGCTCATCGCTCGGTTCACGCTGCGCTCTTGGGCGTCATCAGCGGAGGTGGCGGTCAACAAGACCCTGATGCCAACGAGCGAGTTGTCCTAGGGGTAGGCAAAGCGGGCGAGAATGACTACTTAAGTCAATACATGTCAAGTCTGGTAGACCATTGAGCCTGGCCAGGCCTTTATTACACCCTCCGGGGGCCGCCTTTAATGTGGCCGCTGTTGCTAGTGGCGTTTTTATATTGACCAATTGCCGAAGAGTCTGGTATTTTTCCTTGGACCAATTCAATGCTTAGGGACGCCCCTATGATATAGTAGATTAAAGAGGCAAAGCGGGAAGCTACAGCTAAGCTGAGCTTGCTTGCCCACGTTCCGTAAACTCTACTCGTCAATCAATTTAATCCCGCTTTGCCTAAAAAGGGGGTGGTTAAGGTGCTAGTGCTGGTGATGCTGCTGGTGCTGATGATGATGGCAAGGGCAAAGCTGCCGGAGGAAAAGGTTTAAGGGAGCAATAAGAACAAGGCTGTCGGATCAGCCTCCCTAGAGGACCGGTATATATCTTTTGTGTAGCCTAGGTATCGGTTAACAACGTAATATACGTCATGGCTGGCGAGGAGCTGCTGTTTACCACTTACGGGCTTATCATATACCTAAGGTGTATAAGATCCACAGATACCTAGTATAGGTAGCTTACTCATGGGCTTTAGGCAGGTATAAGTAAGAAAAAAAAACTTAAACGCATTTATAAGGAAAAATAAAGTCATTTAAAATTATTTATAAATAGTTTTAAGTAATTTTAAGTATTTATGTAAGACTTAATTCTTTATTTAACTTAATTTATGTTATAGGCTCGAGTGTAACGGTGGCTTAGGTTTTAAGGCACAGTAGGTCTATTTCTTAGGAAGTAAGTTAGGTTAAATGCTATAAAGTAGCTTTTAAGTAGTATTATAATAAGGCTATTAAGAGTATAACTCTTAATAGTAAAACTATTACTTAAATTAATTAATAAAGAACTAGATTATTTAATTATAAAAATACTTTCTTCTTAAGTATTTATTTA